CGTGCTGGTTGTCGTACTGGATGTTGTGTTGGTAGCCGTATCTGTTGTCGTCCTGGACATCCTCGTACCTGGAGGCGGATACGATGATGTTCGTGATGAGATTGGGGATAAATCGGGTCGCCTCTGTTGAGGTTGCTGGTCTACTGCACGTTACGCATATGTCGCTCCAGTTGTTCAGGTAGGGCTTCCTGGGGCTGCTTTGTGGGCAATGCCGATGATGACGTCGATGGCCGCTGGAGGGTGCCCCTTCCTGGCGACATATGAAAGCCGGCACAGGTGACGGTGTCGTGCACCCTGCTGCTGTGCCCGGCCTCCGCATACGCGGGTAGGTCTCGGTTCGACGCCGGTATTCTCGTAGCATTGGTGGTTCGTGATGTTGATCTTCTTGATGCGGTCGCGGGCGCCACGGCCGTGGGCGCAGGCGCTGTCACCTGGCGCCATGGCGCGCTCTGGCTGGGGCAATTGTCGCCATTCTCGTGGGCTCTTGGAAGGTCCAGCGGAGTGGAGTATATGCGGACCCAGACGGGACCTCGTGGCTCCCTGGGTGGTTGCGAGCTGCGCATCCGTCGCCACCTTCGGGGGCTCCTGAGAGGTCCAGCGGGGTGGAGGTGTACGCGCACCCAGGATCTCGCGGCTTCCTGGTTGGCTGCGAACTGCGCAACGGTCGCCACTTTCGTGGCTCCTGGGAGGTCCAGCAGAGTAGATCCGGCGGTGTACGCGCACCCAGACGGGGCCTCGCGGATCCTTGGGTGGTTGCGAATTGCGCAGCAGTCGCCACTTTCGTCGGCTCCTGGGAGGTCCAGCGGAGTGGAATTGTACGCGGATCCAGGCGAGCCCTCGCGGCTCTCTGGGTGGTTGCGAATTGCGGAATTGTCACCATTCTGGTTAGTTCTTGGGAGATCCAGCGGAGTGGAGGTGTATGGGGACTGCGCATCTGTCGCCACTTTCGTGGGTTCCTGGGAGGCACAGCGGAGGTGAGCCCGTGCAGATCACTTCGAGACCTCGCGGCTCCCAGCGTAGGCTGCGAACTTCGCAAGTGCTCGCCACTTTCGTGGGCGTTTGGGAAGCACGGCGGAGGTGAGGGCAGCGCAGGTCACTTCGAGGCCTCGCGGCTCCCTCGGGGGCCGCGAACTGTGTAATAGTCTAAATGTTCGCATGCTTCTGGTAGGCATGGCCGAGGTGAGCCGCGATGCGTTCATTTTTTGGCCCGTGCATGCAAATAGTCGCCTGGCGTGGATAACGGCTTGGGCACGTCTCGAATAATTCCTGGAGGAGTTCGGAATGGGCCTACCCAGACCGTCGTGATTCTGTCTTGAAGGCCTTTTGGGGCTTTCCTCTCCCGTCTTGAGGCCCTCTTGTGCTATCCTGGGCCGCTCAGCCTCGCTTAGGGCCCTCGCGGGGGTGTCCTGGGCGGTATAGGAGGCATCTTTGGGCCCACATTTGCCTCTTTCGGTGTCTCGTTGGCCCCTCCTGAACCAGTTCCCCCACCTTGACCATGAACAGTTGTCTCTTGGGACCCTCTGGGCTCTAAGGGTTGGGAGCCTTTGGGACCCTCTTGGGGTCCTCTCGGGCCCGTCGTCTGTTCCGCTGGGTCATCTCGGGACCATCTAGAGAATACAGGCCGAACGGAAGCCAAACAGGCGAGAAGGCGGAACTCAGTGACGCTAATATTGCAGGGGCTTTCCCGATGGTGGACCAGGAGGCCGCGAGGGAGCCGGGAAGCGCACGAAGGCAGGTAGATGATCATCCCAGAACGGCCTCGGCAGCCCCTCGACCTCTTGGCGCCCTCCTAGGGGGAGGAGTGGAACCGGAAGTGCAGAGGGAAGACGGGCGACGACGACGACGAGGGAGGAGGGTGAGGAGGGTGGAAAACCAGGTGGATGAGGGAGGGGCCTCCGTCTTATTCGGGAGAGGGGAGGGGGGAGGGGGCGCCCCCCCCCCATCCGGGGGGGGAGGGGCACACCCCCCAGGACCCCCACACCTTGCGAGGACGGGATTTATACAGGGGAGAGGCCTCCCCTGTACGAAACGAGCTTCTTCTCCAAACAGTGTGTGCTTGCACTTAGAGGTTCTTGCTTGTCTTCTTAGCTAACTGACCTTCAGTGCTGGGGTGGCGTGCCTTCCGTCGCCGCCGCCGCCGCTGGCAACCGAGTCCCAGTGCGGTCCGACCGTCGCCGCCGTCGTTGTTTTGGCCCCTGTGGCGGTCTGGACGGCTCGTCGCCGCCCGTCGCCGCGTTGTTTTGCATCGCGTTGCGTAGGTGCGCATTGGAAAGCAGTGCTAAGCATAGCTTTATCCGTAAGGGCTTCGCCCCCTGCCGCCGGCCCCCTCTCTCGGAGAATGGGCCATGGAAGAGCTAAGTCATGAGGCTTTGGCGCTGTCGTGCAGCAGTAACGGAACTTCATGCGAGGCCGATTCGCAATCGGCAAAACCAATTGATCACAAGAGGGGTTACCACACAGGGCGATTGGTAAGACGTGTATGGTTTACGAGCTTGGTTACCACACCTTGGGATTAAAGGACCGAGGGAGTACTCGCAGTTTGGGTTACCACGCCTTGCGATGGATGTGCGTGAGGGGTGGCACCGAATTTCAGAAATGTGGCAAATCCCCTGTGTTTTTGAACCCTGACCCCGCGGATCTGCGTGAGGGGTGGCACCGAATTTCAGAAATGTGGCAAATCCCATGTGTTTTTGGACCCTGACCCCGCGGATCTGCGTGAGGGGTGGCACCGAATTTCAGAAATGTTGCAAATCCCTTGTGTTTTTGGACCCTGACCCCGCGGATCTGCGTGAGGGGTGGCACCGAATTTCAGAAATGTGGCAAATCCCCTGTGTTTTTGGACCCTGACCCCGCGGATCTGCGTGAGGGGTGGCACCGAATTTCAGAAATGTGGCAAATCCCTTGTGTTTTTGGACCCTGACCCCGCGGATCTGCGTGAGGGGTGGCACCGAATTTCAGAAATGTGGCAAATCCCATGTGTTTTTGGACCCTGACCCCGCGGATCTGCGTGAGGGGTGGCACCGAATTTCAGAAATGTGGCAAATCCCCTGTGTTTTTGGACCCTGACCCCGCGGATTTGCGTGAGGGGTGTCGATTTCGAGCCCCCCTAGTAATTCAGACAACGCGCCCAGGGGACGCTGGAAAGTCTTGTTTGGGCCCCCCCCCCTCGCGCGGTCAATCAACTAGTTACAGTAACCAGCAAGAAGCAGAACTGTAACACTGGAAACTACAAGCTACAACTGGTACTGGAAACTGCGAACCCGTGCCTCGCAGCCTGGTGGTCCCACAAGGGGGCCGGCGGATTATGCGAAGTATTGTTGCACATTGCTTTTTTATGGCTTCGCATGGCTCTGCATTGCTCACATGGGTTGCACCACATGTTTTGTCATGCCGCCAGATTAATATCACCACCTGTAATGAACCGCATTGGTTACAAGACATCGCTGTTTGGGAGTCACGCTGGCAAACATGTTGCATTGAAGTGACTTGAACATTGTATGGGATGGGCGGACTCTGCGAGGGCTTGACAGGCCTCTCACACACGCCGACAGGGCTGGCGGACTCTCAATTGGTTTAAGTCTCTCGGGGCACCATTCAGAGGCTTTGGGGGGCCGTCTTGGCCTACTCGTGCGGAGCCGTCGTGGTTCGGTACATCGTGGATGCGCTGGCGGTCTTGTTTTCTCCTGTCCCCGTCCAGACCCCAGGAGCGGGGGGGCAGGAGTATCAATGTGTAAATTCTTTTACGACCAGTTTGATTATGTAGCAGACGATCGCGCGGAGCCTTCCGTCGGAGCCTTTCCTCTGTCGTGCCGAAGCGAACGCCAGATGTCATTGGAATGTTCAGCTGGGGGTGATCGTCAAGGGGGCGACCATGTAGGTTATTTCTGTTGTGACCAAGACGACTGCCCGCCTCAGTGCCGTGGGCCTGCATGCGGTTCGCATCACTTGGGTCTGTGGGCACTTCCGATTCAAGCCGAAGCTATCGCGCTAGAGACGGGGCTTGCGGAGCTGATGAAGTACGTGTGAGGATTCGTGAGTTGCTTCATTGGCAACATCGGCGCAATGTGTTGTGCTGTTGCCGCTGCCTGCTGTCGGGGCAGTGTAGTATTTAGCAGGGGGCGCCATGGCAGAACCGTTTGCTAAGAAGGGCCAAACTGCGTATGCCTGAACATCTGATGCGCTGAGCCAGGTGCACCCAAAGGGTTGCTTATATACATTGGCCGTGGACCCATCCTGCCATCGTGCTTGTGTTGTGGGTCATCGGCCTCTAGGTTGTTCGTTTGGATGGTTTTCCTTTTGTGGCCCTCTTGGGAGGCCTCTTGGAGGCCTCTTGGAGGCCTCTTGCGTCTTGGAGGCATTTTGGTATGTGTGTATTCTCTTTCGTCCTCACTTCTTACCTGTCTTTACCGCTGCTCCCATCGGTTCAGGCGTTGGTGCATCCATACTGGATGCGGGACTGAGCAACGCTGAGGGATAAAACCCTCTATGGCTGCCATCCTTCCTCTGCCTACGGATCTCCTTCGGAGAGACGTTCGGCCCTTCAGTTCTTTCCCTCGTCTCACAGGTTGTCAACGTTTCGTACTTTGCTCTTCCGCCGACGAACTTTGCGTCGTCGATCTCTCCTGTTGCTGCGATGGCCGCCCTGTTGGGGGTGGGCGGGCCCCCGCCCGAGACGTCCTCACAATGGGTGAGTGAGTGAGTGAGTGTGTGAGCGAGTCAGTGAGAGCGTGTGAGTGAGTGGGTGAATGAGTGAGTGAGCGGGTGAGTGAGTGAGTGAGTGAGTGAGTGAGTGAGTGAGTGTGTGAGTGAGTGAGTGAGTGAGTGAGTGAGTGAGTGAGTGAGTGATGATGATGGTGATGATGATGATGCTGATGATGATGATGCTGTTAGTGCGGAGTGTGCTTGCAAACGGGCACGGGATTGAGGGGCCCAACGGCGTGTTCACCGTGCTCCCCTGTATTCCATTATATATTCGCTCAAGCTTTCACAGGTTCGCTCGCATGAGCCTCCCGCGCGGGCCCCTGACTGCCGCGGCGGCGGTCGCGGTCCATGTGGCGGTGGCGCTAGGGCTCTGGAGCTCAACGCCCACGCCCACCTGCCCGCAGCCGGTGTGCCCGGCCCCCTTTTGCCTGGCGCTGGTCTGTCCCGACTGCGTGTCGGCGGCAGGGGCTCCGGACCCGGGGCCGCCCGGGGGCTCTGCGGCTCTCGGACTGGGCGAGGTGCCCGAGGAGCTGGCGGAGATCCGCTCGGCGGCGGTCCGCCTGGAGGAGCAGCTGGCGCTGCTGCAGACGGCGCTCGAGGCGGCTTGGAAAGCCTGGCCGCTTCTGTGGGTCGTCGTCGGCGGGGCCGTGAGATACGTGGTGGGTCGGCTGACCGAGGGGTGCCGTCGTCGCCATGTTGTCGAACAGGAAGTACCAGCTGTTCTCCTCCAGCGGCCTCGCCGTGCAGGAGGAGGAGTTTATGCGTGAGCTCGGACCGGGCATGCGGTTCGCTCGTATGAGGACGACACCTACAGGCACGAGCGGGTAGCGCTGGCGGAGGTGAGGTCCGGAGTGTGGATCATCGTCACTCCCGATGGCGACCGCTACTCGGAGAACATTCGGTGCCGTCGTGGTACCTCGGGGGCGGTGCAGGCTGTGCACCTCGTCCCCGGCGCGGAGCTTCTGGACCCGATGAAAGGCCACTTCTACAAGTTCCGCGCCGCGCTCGACGCGTCCGAGCTGGTGGAGCAGATCAAACTGGCGGAGGGCGAGTCGTTCGGGATCACCAGGCGTCGGCGGCCGGCGCCCGAGGCCATCGCTCTGTGGGACGGCCAGGACGTCGAGTACCAGGCGCTGATGGACTCGGACGGGACGCAACTCGTGCCGCTGGTGGTGGACGACGGCCGCGCGGCGCCTGGCGCTGCGCCAGGCGCGGCGGCCCTGCCGCGTGCCGCGCCGGCCGGCCCGCCACCGGACGTCACGTGGCTGATCATCGACCCGGTTCATCCCGATTTCGGGCGTGAACGGCACCCGTCCCCTGATGCTGAGATGGCGGGTGAGTGCGCGATGGCGCTGGATGTCAATCGTCGGCCGGTGCCAGTGAAGCGCGTGCCGATCTCCGACGTCGCGAGTTTCCGTGACATGGTGCACATGCGGGTGCGCAAGATCTTGGATGACGAGGCTGCCGCCGCGAAGGCGGACGGAGGGCTGGAGGGCCGCTTGAACGATGCCCTAGACGGCGGCACAAAGACGCCCCCGGCCGGCGAGGATGCGAGGACCCTGACGGTGAGCTACGACGAGCACGGGGGGCGCCACAAGGACTGGCGGTCAGTCTGCGCGGAGATCTCGTACAGCCACTTTGGTGACTGGGAGAAGTACCATGAGGGGCCTCCTGTGACGTTGCCGTTGTTCAAGAACATCCAGCGTCAGGGAGGCGACCCCCGCCTGTTCTTTCCCATCTGGTGTCGGGATTCGGGCGTGAGCCCGCAGGAGCGCGCGGGCATCGAGATGAAGCTGCTGCTGGAGATCCTCTACCTGAGCGGCTGCTACGACCAGGTCAACGGCCCATCCTTGGCGAGCGTCGAGGCCGTGTCGAGGAGGGTGTGTCAGATCATCGAGGCCTACTCGGCAGGGATCCCTGGCCGCGCCAACTGGGAGGGCGCGAAGCACTTCATGCCGCTGGCCAATGCGGCCTCAGTTGCGCCTCCAGAGCTCCGCTCTCACGCTCATCGCCGCGCGAAGGAGGAGGTGGAGATCGAGAACATGCGACTGAAGGCGCGTGGCCTGCAGCCTGCCGCGGGCGTCGAGGGCAGCCAGCCGACCCTCCCCGGCCCGGGAGGGGGCGGCCGAGGTGGCGGCCCTAGGGGCGACCCGAAGGGCGGCGGACGCGGTGGCGGCCCGAAGGGAGGAGCTGGCGCGGAGGCGGGGAAGGCTCAGGCCCCGGGGCGATGGTCGGGGCCGGCGCCGGTCGTGGTCGAGCCGACGCTGGAGGCCCAGACCCGGCGGTTGACGACGAGCGTGTGAGGCGCGTCGCCATGCTGCCGCTCTTCCCCATTCCTCTCGCCCCCGCGCCCACCATGCCCAGCGGACGTGGCCGACAGGCCTCGGGCCTGAGAGGCCATTTGCGACGACTGAATGCAGACGTGAACGCAACTGTGAATGCTTTGAATTGGATGGCTGGGGATCGACATCGGCCCGAGTACGGGCCACCGCGCACCCCGGAACAGGCTAGTGTGCATGCGCGCGTGCGAGGAGGGATTTTGCCCCTTTTGACCTCGGACGTCGCGACCCCTAGCCGGCGAGCGGCTTTTCTGGAGCTGCTGCACGGCCGAGCTGTGTATGATGCAGAGCCCGGTGGACACAACCTTGCCAGTTTCTCCAATGTTGCCTCTGTGAGCCTACCAGACAGCGTCGTAGGCGCCCCCTTGGTGCAGGAGGTTGTGGGCCCAGAGGCATGCCAGTACTTGGAGCAGAACTACGAGCGCATGCTGCGCCCCTCTTCGGACTTTGGAGCGACAGGAGTCGCTGCCCCCCATAACTCCCTATTGGGGCCCTGTGCTGTCTCGCAGCCGCCGCAAGTTTCTGCGGCTGATGCGGGCGCTCTTGCGGGTCGGGCTGGTCACGCTTTTGCCAGCTGGCTCGTCGCGGGAGCAAGTCGGCATGTTCTTTGTAAAGAAGATGGGCAAAAGTAAGAGTCGTCTCATCATCGACGCGCGTAGGGCAAACAGGCGATTCGCTGAGCCCCCAGGAGTCCATCTCTGTTCTTCGGAGAGCCTCGCTAGGATCGAGGTCGCTCTCCCTCCAGGTTGCTCCAGTCTCACTCCTGATCAACTTCGTAGCGCCCGGATGTCACTGGGGCTGGCGGATGTAAAAGACGCGTTTCATCTTTTGCGTCTTCCTCCGGGACTGGCCAGTTATTTTGGTCTGGGTGTTGCCGCGGCTGGGGAGTTGAGCGCAGTAGGCGATATCGTCGGCGGAAAGATCTTGGGGGTCGATGACTGCATTGACATCTGTTGGGCGTCTCTTCCAATGGGGTTCTCATGGTCTCTTTACTTCTGTCAGCAGGCCGGGGGGCATCGTCTGGGTGGAGTCCCTGGCCTTCGAGATTCGGTCCTTCTTCGAGATCGCGGTAAGCCAGGGGTCTTCAGCTTCGTCGAGCCGGACACGGGCCACGAGAGGGGGGTTGGTCCTGGAGGGCTCAGGGGTCTGTCATTACATCTACGTCGACAACCTGGGTGTTCTCTCATGCGACCCCCCCACACACATCGAGTCTTCTGTCCGACGCGGCGGCCCGCTTTGAGGAGGCGGGTTTGGTAACCCACAAGCACGAGGTGAGCGTCAACTCCGTAAAGGCTCTTGGGACTCACGTGCGTCTTGAGGGGCTTGGGGTCTCGCTCGCACCTGCTAGGCTGTGGAAAGTGCGTCAGGGGGTCCTTTACGCCCTGTCGTGTCGGAAGCTGCCCGGTCGGGTCTGGGAGGTGCTGTTGGGTCACCTCGCATTCTGTGCGCTGATCAACCGTAGCATGATGAGCGTCTTCAGGAGTATCTACGCGTTCATAAAGATGTACTACGCTACACCCATGCCTTTGTGGGGCACGGCAAGACAGGAGATGTCGACTGCAGCCTCTCTGTTGTTCTTGATGGATGCTTCGTGGACTTTACCTTGGTCCCCAAGCGTCGTGGCGACTGACGCCTCAGAGGAAGGGTTCGGGGCCACGGTCTCGGAGTGGGAAACCCAGGACGTCTCGGAGGTGGGGAGGATCTTGGAGAGAGGTCGTTTCCGAAGGCTTCCTGGAGTTTCTGCTCGGGCCAGGTTTTTCGGAAGCTTGGAGGAACTGGGGTCCGACGAGGAGGAGAGCGAGTCTGAGCGGCCGTGCGACGTCGACTCGGGTTTTCCTGAGGTCCCCCATGCAGTGCTCACGAGGGCCCGCTGGAGCACCCTTCTGGCAGGTCCGTGGAAATATTTTGACGAGGGCATCTTTACCTTGGAAGCCAGGGCCCTGCTGTTGGGATTCCAGGCGCTGGTGAGCGAGTACCAAGTCAGAAACGCGAGGGTGCTCTTCTTGGTTGACAACATGGGGGTATGCCTGTCCTTCGCCCGGGGGCGCACCACGGACTTCAGGGCCCTGATGTGTATGAGACGCATGGGATCGTGGTGCTTGGCTCTTGGGCTGCGTGCGTGTTTTCGATGGATGCCTTCTGAGTGGAATACGGCTGATGAGCCCTCTCGTCGCTTCTCAGTAGAACATGTTGGCTCACGTTATGTTCCCGACGTTGCTGGCGCTTCTGACATCGTTCAGTACCCACTCAAATGTGATGATGAGAGGGCCGACTCTTGGGCCGGCCCGGGCTGTTCCTCGGGCGAAAGCGCGGCCAGGCCTGCTGCCAGCGGGGTCGGCGTCTGCGCCCTCAACGCCAGTGGCTTCGAGGAGTTTGGTGGCGACACTGTTAACACCTTCACCCCGCAGGCCGACCCTTCTCCGTCGCCTACCGCCTGGGGACACGCTGGTGGCGAAGCTCGAGCAGGCCCCGAAGGGGCACAACGCGCCGGCCCTCGACGAGCTGAACGACGAGGAGGCCTCGAACGTGGTCGAGGAGAGCGACGCGACCTCCGACGCGGTCCAGGTCCGGACGCGGCCTGTCCGCCGCACGCGAGCGTTGGCGGCCCCACGTCTGAAGCGAGCACGCCAACCCGTGGAAGCAAGCCGCCTACAAGGACTGGGCCTCCTGCCGCTGGAGTCGAGCGCGGCGCAGTCGAAGACGGAGATCCAGTACCACGAGGCGGTGTACGCGTGGCGAGCTCGGGCCCGCGAGTTCGGCGAGCCTCTCGGCGTGGCTGCCGAGGTGGACGCCTCGGTGGCGCGGCAGCTTCAAGAGCTTTTCGACCAGGGCGAGAACCTCAGCAAGGGCGAGAAGCTCGTGGCCGGGCTGGGGCACTTCCTGCCCGAGTTCGGACGCCACGGTGGCCTTCATCTATCCCGCTGTCATCGAGCCTTGAAGGGATGGAGGCGCCGCTGTCCGCCGCGATCGCGCCGCCCCCTGGCCTTCAGCATTTGGGCGGCCATCATTTGGGAGCTGTGCCGTGCCAACTTCTGGAACATGGGGGTCTACGCGCTGTTCATGCTGGTGACCTACATGCGGCCGTCGGAGCCGCTGAAGTTGTTGAAGGAGGACCTCTTGGCACCAGCGCACGGACTCTCTGCCTCATGGATCTGCTTCGCTTTTCGGCAAGAGCGGGGAGTGGCGTCCAAGACGTACGCGACGGACGAGAGCATCGACCTGAGTTGCAAGTGGGTGCCCTACCTGTCGTCGGCGGTGGCGGCGCTCCGGGTTGGGGGCCCGAAGTCCAAGTTCTTCAACTTTACGCACAGCAGCTACACGCACCAGTTCAAGATCGCCTGCAAGAAGCTCGGGCTGACGGCCGCGCCTTATCAGGCAAGGCACTCAGGCGCCTCCATCGACGCCGCCATGAAGTACCGCACGAGAGCCGAGATCAAAAGCAGGGGAAGATGGAAGGCGGACAAGTCGGTGTTGAGGTACGACAGCAAGGCCAAGATCGTCGAGAGCGTGGACAAGCTGACCGGCTCGTTGGCGTCTCACGTGCACAGGTGCGAGCTCCAGCTCGGGGCCCTTTTGCGCGGCCAGATCGACCCCTCGGCCACCGCGCCGCCCGCCATCCAGAGCTCAGCCCCAAAGAAGCGACGCCGTACCTAGCTGATCTGTTTGGCGGCACAGGCGGCGTGGGGCGCGCGGCGGGCAAGCGCGGTATCCGAGCCCGCCTGTGGGACAAGTCCATCTCTGACTCTCTGGACCTCACGGTCCTGAAGAATATTAAGCTCCTGTGCTCAGAGGCTAAGAGCAATAAGCTCGTGGCGGTCATGATCGCTATTGCATGCCGTTCGTGGGGTATTGCGCGCCGCAGAACCAATGTAATCCGCTCGCGATCCGAGCCCTGGGGAGTTACCATACCGGCCAAACCTTTTTCGGCCAACGACATGGAGGCCCTCAGGACTGGAAGTCTCCAGGCCCGAAGGATCCTCAAGCTTATCAGGTGCATCCATGTTCTTGGTATCCCGTGGGCCGTTGAAAACCCTTCAACAAGTTTGCTTGGGTGGGTTCCAGGTTTCTTGCAACTCGCGAAGGACCCCAAGGTGTGCGTTAATATTATCGACCAGTGTGCCATCGGTACTCCTTGGCGTAAGCGTACTCAACTCATGTTCGGCAACTGCGACCCTATCGGTGTTACCTTGTGTGATAAATATATCTGCCACGGTCGGGGACAATGCTGCTTCTCAGGAAAGCCTCACGTCGAGTTGGAAGGGAAACGCATGACTGCCCAGGCCCAAACATACCCACCCCGTTTCTCCCATCTCCTGGCCAAGATCTTTTGCAGTGCTGCGGTTTACCGACGGGCTTGCCTCTATTCAATCAACTCATAAGCTCACTACCTTTCGGGGCGATTTGGGGATCAGCTAACGCATAATGCCGAGTACGTACTCTTTAGCGTTCTCATGTCCAGTTGAGGGCCAGCTCGTGAAGACGGTGGCAGAGTTGATTAGACACGCTGATCGAAAAACAGAGTGCAGGCCTCTCATGTTAGCGCGGAGTGCGCTTGCAAACGGGCACGGGATTGAGGGGCCCAACGGCGTGTTCACCGTGCTCCCCTGTATTCCATTATGTATTCGCTCAAGCTTCCCTCCCCCCTCTGCCTCCCTTGCGCTGTGCCGTCGTTTACTCCGCGTTTCAATGGGGAATCAGCTAACGCATAATGCCGAGTACATACTCTTTAGCGTTCTCATGTCCAGTTGAGTGCCAGCTCGTGAAGACGGTGGCAGAGTTGATGAGACACATTGCTGATCGAAAAACAGAGTGCAGGCCTCTCATGATGATGATGCTGATGAGTGAGTGAGTGAGTGAGTGAGTGAGTGAGTGCGTGATGATGATGGTGATCCTTAGGATTTCACGATCATGGTGTGTGAGTGTCTGAGTGGATGTGTGAGTGAATGGGTGCGTGAATGTGTGAGCGAGCGCGCGGGCGTGGGTGGGTGCGCCCTCTCCTGCGCGGGGTGCCTAGAGAAAGCAAAAACCCCACCTCCGATGTGGGGGGCAAAGGCAACTGCAGCAACAACACGACAATACAGACACGCACACACACACACGCACACCACCCCGAAATTCCAGTTGCGTCAGGGCCAGCCTGGGGAGGAGGGGGGCGATGAGAGGGGGGAGGAGGGAGGGGGGGGGGGGGGGGGGGGGGGGGGGATGGGGGGAGGGAAGGAGGGGGGGGGGGGGGGGGGGGGGGGGGGGGGGGGGGGGGGGGGGGGGGGGGAGGGGGGGGGGGGGGGGGGGGGGGGGGGCGGAGGGGGGGGGGGGGGGGGGGGGAGGGGGAGGAGGAGGAGGAGGAGGAGGAGGAAGGAGGGGTAGGAGGAGGAGGAGGGGAGGAGGAGGTGGGGGGAGGACGAGGAGAAGGAGGAGGATGAGGAGGAGGAGGAGACGGTGCAGAGGGAGGAGGAACACACGGTGTAGGAGCACGCGGAGGAGGAGGAGGAGGAGGGGGAGGAGGAGGAGGAGGAGGTATACTGGCCGACGCAACGAGAGAACCATGGGTCCCCAACGCTGCTAAATGCGTCGCATGTTCGACATGTTGGCTCCAAGGTCCAGCGCCCAAGCACGCCGACCGAACTTGGTCACAGAAATAGCGGATGGTTCGGCTCAGCAAACGCCAGTTTGTCCAGAAGTTTGCCATGAGGTTGCAGGTCAAACACAGGCAGGCTCTAGAGATCGTGGACGCTTTCTCAGATGTTGTGTTTCAAGATATCAAGGACAACGGTGCGGCGTTGATCCCGAACATCTGCGCGATTGTGAAGGGCTTGCGCAAGCCGAGGTCGGCCATCGACAAGGCTGAGGCACGTGGGATGTCTGGCGGCGGCCCTCCGCACCACAGGTTCAAGAAGAGTTACCTCAAGGTGGTGGTCAAGGTGTCGGCTTGCAGGAAGCACGAGAAGATCCTTGATGATAACTCATGGAGCCCGCTTGCCAACCTCCCAGTGCTTGGCCCCCCGCCGTCGCCAGAGGCGGCCCCAGCCGCGGCTGCGCCGAATGATTGAGCTCTAGGCGGTGTCAGTTCCAGTGGCGCTGGCGCGCCGCCCTGTGGGGCCCCTCACGCGAGCGGTTTTCGCTCGCATCGGCGGATGGCGAAACCACCTGAGTTGTCATCGTCAGCGCCATCAGCCGATGAAGAGCAATATGAGGACGAGAAGGAGGGGGTGCGGAGTTGGAGGGGGAGGAGGAGGAGAAGGAGGAGGAGGGGGGGGAGGAGGAGGAGGAGGAGGAGGAGGAGGAGGAGGGAGGAGGAGGAGGAGGAGGAGGAGGAGGAGGGGAGGAGGAGGGGGGGGGGAGGAGGAGGAGGAGGAGGGGGGGGTGAAGGAGAAGGAGGGAGTGACCAACACTCTTGGATGAGGAGGGGAGGGGGCGAGGAGGGGGGAGAGGATGAGGAGGACCGCAGGAGGAGGGGAGGAGACCAATAATGATACCTTGAACGTCAACCTGGAATCGGCGATGCATCGGCGATTGGACGCCTTCCATCCTTCCCCCCACCCCCCCCTCCCCATTTCCATCCCTCCCCATCCTCCTCCCCTCCCCTTCCTCCTTCTCCTCCTCCTCCTCCTCCTCCTCCTCCTCCCCCCCCCCCCCCCCCCCCCCCCCCCCCCCCCCCCCCCCCCCCCCCCCCCCCCCCCCACCCCCCCCCCTCATCCCCCTCCTCCTCCTCGTCCAAGGGTCAGCCGTTTACTCCCGCATTCTCCCTCCTCCTCCTCCCCCTCCCCCTCCACCTTCTCATCCTCCTCCTCCTTCTCGCCCTCATGTTGCTCTTCATCGGCTGGTTGGTTAGGCGCAGTGGCACGCGCGCGCTTCCCGGGGCAAATGCGGTCACGCGTGCAAGCACTGTTGCGGGAAGAGCAAGCTAGTACGTGCAAGTACCAATTGGGGTCGATCGGATCTCTGCTCGCGTCTGGCACGCAAGCGCTGCTGTGGGAAGAGAGGGGTTGATGCGCTCATGGTTGAGCCCCTGTCATCCGAGTAATCACTGTTTGAGGCAAGCGCTGTTCACGGGATCACTAGCGTATGGTAAGCACCGTTGGGGGTAAACGCTGTTATGCGTGCACGCACTGTCATAAGTGGATGTCGCGTCATTCGTGCAAGCACTGCTGTGGGCCATGCAAGCACTGCCATACGTGCAAGCGCTGCCTGGGGCAACTCGGCCTAGCGCTCAAGGATTCTTGCGATATGGGACGGGGTGGGCCCGTATGGTTTAGGACTTGGCATGCGCGCGAGCACGGGTTGATGCAGCGCTGTAGTGCTGCCGCACATGCAAGCGCTGAGATGCGCGCAAATACTGTTTGAGGAAGCGCCGTCGCGCGCGCAAGCACTGCTCGGGGCAGCCACTGTCATGCATGCAGGCACTGTTGTGGGAAGGTAGCTGTCATGCGCGCAGGCATTGTTTGACAGGGGGAGGGGGATGGGGGGGGGGGGAAGGAGGAGGAGGAGGCGGAGGAGGGGGTGGGTGAGACGGAGAGCGTAAAAACAAAACACTCTTGGAGGGGGAGGATGCCCAGGGGGGGGGGCGAGGATGAGGAAGAGGAGGGGGGGGGAGGAGGATGAGGATGGGGAGGAGGAGGAGGATGAGAAGGAGGTGGAGGAGGAGGGGGGGGAGGAGGAGGAGCAGGAGGAGGAGGAGGAGGAGGTGTTTTACAAGCGTACATCGGGTACAGCGCTGCTGCTGAGCAGATCGGATTGAGCCATCTTGGGCCACCCTGGGCCGTCGAGGTCCGTCCTGGGCCCGTCGGGCAGCCGTCTTGGGCCGTCCTGTCATCTTGGGCAGTCGGAGGGGGGGCGTCTTGGAATTGTCTTGGAAGCATCTTCAAGCAATCGCTTGCAAGCAGCGCGTTTCCGATTGCCCCCCCCCCCACGCGGCTTCGTCGCCACTTCGATCGGGGCTCGAAGTGTTTTTCCAGGTAGCCGACGGCATGCCGGCTGTCAAGGGGGCGATCCTGTCGGAAGAGGCCGTCGCGGATGTGCTGTCCCATGTGCCCGCCTCTCAGCTGAAGAACGGTAAGTTCGCGCTGTGCGACATAGTGACTTTCGGCCGCAGCCCAGACTGGAGCGCTGCCAAGCCCTTGGCCAAGTCGATCGCGCGCTTGCTGAGGCACACGGGCGGCGTGCAGGCTACGCAAACTCTTTTCACTCAAGGCGCGACCGCCTACATCGAGAAGAACAACCTCGTGGTGAATGGCAACGAGGCAGAGGCGCGCGCATTCAGGCTGCGGGCGCTGTTGTCCCAGCTGGCCTCGCAGAAGGCCAAGGGTCGCGGGTTGCCGTCTGTGTTCGTGGAGAGCTTCGGCGCCGTCATGGACCTCATCACCGTCGCGCCCGCGACGACTCCGAGGACGTCGATGGCCATTGGGTCCGCTGTGGAGATCGACGACGCGATGTCGATCAGCAGCGAGGGGGGCGATGTCGAGTGGAACCGCGAGGAGCTTCTCTCGAGCCACGACCCAGACTGGGTCGCGTTCCTGGAGGGCCCCTGGGTCGTCAGCAGGGCAGCCGGCCTGCCGTCGGACGACCGCAAGGCGACGTCCAAGCTCGAGACCACCGACTTGCCTCAGGACGCCGGCACAGTGGAGTTCGCGCCGTCCGACGTGCTCGAGGGGGATCTGAAGGGGGATGGCGCGGCGGATGTTGACACTGAGAAGAAGGGTGGCGACCAGGGCGCGACCTCCTGCGAGCTGCCATCGGCGCCCCCGCTTGCCGACGCAGGCGCGCAGGCGCTGTTGCAGGCGCCAGCCGCGCCGCCAGGCTCCGAGGACTGGATGGGCTTGCAGACGAAGCTGAAGGAGAAGGCAGTTGAGAAGCAGGGCAAGGGCAAGGCGAAGGCCGCGTTGAAGCGGCCAGCGGCCGCGCATCCTGCGGCTGGCGACGACGAGGCGGCGCCCGTGAAGCAGAATCAGAAGACCCCGCCTGTCGGCAAACATGTTCGCACGGTGACTGACCCCGCGAAGATGTCGGACGAGGAGTGGGCAAAGTTCCTCCACCGCGAGCACAGCAGGATCTACGGCAGACAGCTGACCGCTCTGAAGGCTGCAGGTTTGCCGAAAGCCAGCGCCTTGGAGGGGGCGCAGTCGGCTGCGAGAGCGAGGGCGGATGAGCTTCGGGCAGAGTACCAACGGCCGAAAAAGAAAGCGAGGACGCAAGATCCCGCGTGCTTGGCATCGCTGGCTACTAGTGCGCGGGTTTGCGCGCTGGGTGCGCTCGGCTCCGAGGAGCCACTGCGCAGTTGCTCGTTTTCGATCGTCGAGATCTTGAGAAAAAAATGTTTCGTCGGGGGCCCAACCATGTGCAGCTGAGAGTAGCGCAGCCGTGAGGGCCGTTTTGGGTGGGCGTCCCCATGAGGCCGCGACGATCGCGAGGGTCGCGCCGAAATGAAGGCGGGACGACATTATGACCATCGTCGATCGCTCGGGACACACCGAACCAATAATGCCAAATCCGTTTGGGATCAAACGCGCGACATTCAGTGGCGGGGCTCTCTACACGCGCAGGTCTTGCGGTTAAACATAATTTTATTGCGGGCAGGGTTGTGTAGTTATCCGCGGGCTAATGCCTTGGTGGTTGTCATGCTAAAGGTGCATGCGCTGCTTGGGGAACTCGCGCAAGTGAGCCCTTCGATTGGTGAATTCGGCAACGCTTGTCTGGGCCTCTCAAAGCTAAGCCCTAGCCCCTACACACGGCTGGAGCTCTCAACACTTACCAATGAGGAGAGAAGGAGGAGAGAAGGATAATGATAGCGTAAAACACTAACTCTTGGAGGGGAGGAGGAGGATGAGGATGGGGGGGGGGGGGGGGGGGGGGGGGAGGGAAGTAAAGGGGGAGGAAAGAGGGAGGAGGAGGATGGGGATGGGAAGGAGGAGGGGAGGGGGAGGTGGAGGAGGAGAAGGGATGATGAGGAGGAGGAGGAGGAGGAGAACAAAAAGAGGGGGGGGGTGGGTGTTGCGTCGCGATGCCAGGGGCCCGCCCTGGGAGAGGATGGACCCTCTCTGTTGGCGGGCGGGGCTCAGGCGCCAGGGCGCCAACCAGATCGAATGCGTTGCCCCCCCCCCCCCCCCCTCACCCCCCCCCCGAAAAAAAAAAAAACACGCTTGTTTACAGGGCTGTTTTTGCGTCGCCTGGAGCACCCTGGGCCCCCCGCAGAGCATGAAGCCGGCACTGGAAACAAATTATTTTTTCTTGCTTATTCTTTGCAGACACAGAGGAAAAGTTCAGACCCCCCCCAGCTGGGGTGCGGCCCTCGGGAACAGCCATCCGTGTCGCTGTTTTGGTTCGACAGCGCCCGCGGGTCGGGCCCTCTTGCCCCGTCTGGGCGCCGTCTGGCAGCTGACGCGCCGCCGAAGGGGAACAAGAAACGCGCGCTCGAGGTGCCAGCGGCGTCAGAAGAAGAGCTCGAGAAGGCGAAAGCTGTCCTGAAGGAAGCGGAGGAGGCCAAGAGACAACGGGCGCCCATGGCGAATTGGCCCACAGAAAACGATGTGAAGAAAGTGCGCGATGCGTGGCCCATTGGAAAGCGCAGGGAGTTTTTTTTCCACAGCTGGTTCGCCGATAAGCTCAGTAAGGGCGCAACGTCGGAATCAACCAAGTTGGCCACCTTGCTCAAGAAGAACAACAACAGGGCCGAGTGGTGGAGCATCGCCAGGATGACCAGGGAGTTCGGCGAGCAGAAGGCGAAGGAGAAAGCTGCTGTCTTCGACGCGGACCCGACCAAGTGGCGCCCAGACCGCGACTCTGGCTTGGATGGGCCGCTCAGCAGGGAGCACCGCATCAACATTGACACGCTCGACGAGGGCGACGAGGAGCGGGGCGCCCACCAGTCGGACACCTGAGGAGCTCTTGGAGAGCGATGAGAAGCTGAAGGAGGCGGCGGAGTCGTTCGACTCCATGAGGGCGCGCAACGCGGGGGGCTCAGCAAGCGGCGGCGGCTGCAGCAGCGGGCTGGTCGCCGTGAAGAAGGAGGCCGAGGGCGCTGAGCCTAGGCCCGAGGTGAATGCTACCTTCCAGG